AGCCGCGACTGTCCTTTGGAGCCAGCGGCACCTGCAGGCCGCGGTTGGGCGGTGCGAGTGGGATGCTTTGCCGCACGGGTGTTGTGGTGGCGCCTTGCAGCGGCTCTGGTGATAGTCCCGACGCTGCAGCTCGACACGTGGCGGAGAGTAAAGAGCGACCGCAGTGGACTCCTGACCGTCGGGTGGAAGGTGCACTGCTAGACGGAGACAGTCTCGGCACCAAAATGAGGCTCAATGACTTCCTTCGGAATTATATTGGCTTCAGGACGGCCGTTGATGAAAGACTACAATGTGACGATGGAGGAGTTTGTTTGGAGGCCTGAAGCTTACGTCTATGACCACCAGCTTCTTGAATAAGTTTTCAATTCAGAAGATTCTCGGCTTTTAATAGATGAGAATAAGCTTTTGGACGGGGGCGTGGTTCCTCTTGAACGTTGGAGTGTCATTGAAGGGAAGGATACGGTCAGTCCTTCCGCAAGGGACAACCAAATGAAGCTCTAACTCAGATACGGAAAGAAGAAAGGGCAGGGCGGGACCAGCAAAAAGGATGTGCTATTTTCACCAGGATCGAAGATGTACTGTTTAGAGGAAGGGGTTGCGTCGAGTAAAAGGAGCTGAATGATTTTCCTGCGATGGAATTGGACGGCAGGGGTGCTGCGGACGCCAATCGGGAGGCCTTGCTGGAGGCGTTTTTTAAGGACCCTGAGAAGTATATTCGCGATGCGGGAGTATTGGGCGAAATACAGGCATCCGATCGTTATGTGGGGGTGGAGGGGGCTGTACGGGATGAAATGGATATGGAAGAAGATGTACGCAGGCTTTACGATAATGGCGTGTGCAATCTACTGAAGTGGTTGGTGGCTTCTGCGGAGGTAAAAGCAAATGTTCATGACGTCGCTAAAGGGTTTTTGGATTCAGACGCCGAGGAAGCGAGGGACCCAACGACGTCGAGCGCACCGAGATACCTGTAGGAGGGATGCTACGAGTCTGTGTACAATGCGAGGTGGCACCGTGTCGTGAAGGTTGTTGGCGGCGAGGGGATAGGAATGGATGTGAGGGAGGGGAAACCACCGCAGTCGTGGGCGTACACGGCAGTTGGCGAATCCCTCGAAAAGGATGACGGAGTGCAGCAATCCGGTGCACCGCGTTTCAGGCTGATGGTGCTCACCTCGGACGAGGGATGGCCGTACTCGTGGGAGGAGGATGAATTCACTCGTGGCTGCCATGTGAACTGTGAGGTGGATCGAGTGTGGCGGATCG